GTGTCGGTGTGTCGGTGTGTCTGTGTGCCGGTGTGCCGGTGTGCCGGTGTGCCGGTGTGCCGGTGTGTCGGTGTGTCGGTGTGTCGGTGTGTCGGTGTGTCGCGGTGTCGCGGTGTCGCGGTGTCGCGGTGTCGGTGTGTCGGTGTGTCGGTGTGTCGGTGTGTCGGTGTGTCGGTGTGTCGGTGTGTCGGTGTGTCGGTGTGTCGGTGTGTCGGTGTGTCGGTGTGTCGGTGTGTCGGTGTGTCGGTGTGTCTGTGTGTCTGTGTGTCTGTGTGTCTGTGTGTCCGTGTGTCCGTGTGTCCGTGTGTCCCGTGTGTCGGTGTGTCCGTGTGTTCTGGTGTGTCGGTGTGTCGGTGTGTCGGTGTGTCGGTGGTGTCGGTGTGTCGGTGTGTCGGTGTGTCGGTGTGTCGGGTGCGTTTGTGTTGTCGGTGTGTCGGTGTGTCGTGGTGTCGGTGTGTCTGTCGGTGTGTCCGTGGTCGGTTGTGTCGGTGTGTCGGTTGTGTCGGTTTGTCGGTGTGTCGTGGTGTCGGTGTGTTCGGTGTTTCGGTGTGTCGGTGTTCGTGTGTCGTTGCCGCGGGTGTGCCGTTGTGTCGGTGTGTCGGTGTGTCGGTGTGTCGGTGTGTCAGTGTGTCGGTGTGTCGGTGTGTCGGTGTGTCGGTGTGTCTGTGTGTGTGTGCGTGTGCGTGTGCGTGTGCGTGTGCGTGTGCGTGTGCGTGTGCGTGTGCGTGTGCGTTTGCGCGCACGTGCGCGCGTGCGTAGGGGTCGCGCGGGGCGCGGGTGCGAGCGCGCGTGCGCGTGCGCGCGCGTGTGCGCGCGCGGGGGGGGGGGGGGGCGATGACCTGCCAAAGGTAAGGCCCACGCATGCCAGCGTGATCACACGCGTTGGGCACGCGGACATTCACCATGATAAGGTCACCTGCAACTCCAGGACCCTTCAAGGAAGAGGCCTGCCTCCCCCCACCACAATGGGAACCATCTCGCGGCACTGCTCAAGGAGCTCAGCAGAGTCGCGCATGACAACTCCATCTGCAGCCTTGCCACCCATGAAACTGCCATCGAGGGTGCCCGTGGGAAGCTCGTCAGAGAGAGTCGCCATATCATCATGCGACCAATGAGTGTCCTGGGCGTAAGAAACCCGAAACTGTTCAAGCAACTGCTGTGCCTGCCGAAAACGCGAACTTGCCCTAAGAGGGGTGGGCGAGATAGAATCAAACAGAGCTCCGGAGCTTCACGCACGGAGCGCGACCCGTCGAGAGGGACGAAATACCCCACCAGCAACCCCAGCCAGGAGAGGAGAAACTTGCGATGCTGTGTCGGATGAATTAGTCGTAGAGCAGCTATCCGAACACAAAAGCAAAGTGGAGCTCTCAAGCACCAAAGAACCCGTGGTTCCCCCGTCGAGCCCCGCGTCAAATAAGATGCGATCGAATCCGCCAAGAGTGTCGAATCTCCCCGAAGCGGACCTGCAAGCACGGTGCATCCTGGGCGCCTCCTGCCCCCTCAAAACTGCTTGCGCGTCGATTGAGCAGCGAGCACCACCAGCAGCGGGGCCATCACCACCAATCGACGCTTCTACAACCGGTGCCAGGTTGGACCCGCTCTCCACGACGTGAACAATACCCCAGGCCCCGTCAGTCTGGCTTTGTCATGTCCGGGCGCGTTCCCCACGGCATGTCTCGGATCGCCTAGGTATAAAAAAAAATCCCGGAGGGCTGCGGGAGGTCGCGCCGCACACAAAGCTAAAGCCCTCAGGGCTCGGGAGGGAGAAGGGGCCTTCCGCCACCGCCTTCGATTGGAAAGTAGAAGCCTGCAGCGTACTAGGAGAATCGAGGAACACCTTCAGGCTGCGATTGAATGCCTGACTCTGGATGCAAGGGATCGCCTGCAGCTTGAAGCAGGGCCATCTCCAGCGGGACCCTTTTAAGCCCAAAACCACAAGACGGGAGGGGGTGCCAACATGACCAAGCTCAACACGACGCCGCACATGCAGAGAGTAGCTGTCACCGTCCCTCGGAACCGCCACCGCCTCCACACTCTCCGCCATATTTCTCACCTCCGCCAACTTCTCCTCCATTACCTCAAGCATCCCCACCAACTCCTTATTCAGACCACGATTCGCCATTTACGACCCTAGATAGCCTGCATCAGTGACTGTTCCCAGATGGCTTCCAAGTGGGAGAATGTGTCAGCCGCCCACTGAGCAAGGTCGGCATGGAGGTTCTGCCAATTCTGGATATTTTTCTCGGCCTCAATCATGTGCCTCTGAATACCCGAAGTCTGCACGTCCATCTATGACACACCACGCTCGAGCTGATTCGACAAGCTGCCCACAGCTGTCGGGAGAGGCTGGGGCAGCTCTTTCGGAACCGCGTGCATGCTGCTGTCAGCATACGGGGGCGCGGCGCTCGCAGCGGCGGTGTTCGCTCCACTGGAACCGTCTTCGCTACTGGCACGCCTACATGGCATGGCGTGGCGCATCGCCTCCATGGCATGGCCACGGCATCGCGTGGCGCATGGCCTCCACGGCATGGCATGGCATCGCCGCCATGGCATCGCGCGGCGCCTCGCCTCCATGGAACTGTCTTCGCCTGGGCCACGGCATGGCGTGGCGCATCGCCCTCCGCGGCAAGAGGCGGAGCGCCGGCGCCGAGGGAGAGCGGCCGCGGAGGGCCAGGGAGCGCGGCCGCGGCCCGCGGCCCGCCCTTGGCGCATGGCCACCGGGCGCCTCGAGAGGCTGGGAAAGTGAGGGAGCAGGCCCCTTGAGCTAACGGCCACGGACGATGGTGATGAGGAGGAGGAGGAGGAGGAGGAGGAGGAAAAGGAGGCGGCAGCGGAAGACGGGGAAAGGAGATGAGGCTAGGAGGAGGAGGAGGAGGAGGAGGAGGAGGAGGAGGAGGAGGAGGAGGAGGAGGAGGAAGAGGAGGAGAAGAAAGGGGCAGATGAGGATGAGGCGTGAGGAGGGAGGAAGGGGAGGAAAGGGGGGGATGCGAATGGCAAGGGGGAAGGGAGGACTGTCGGGGGAGGAAGGAGCTTTTAGGCAGAGCTTGGTTTCTGGGGGGGGGGACGGGGAGAATGATATTGAGGAGTACGCGAAGGAGGGGAAGGGAAAGGGAAGGAGGACGAGGACGAGGTGTCATGTTCTGGTTGGTCCAAGGTCGCCCCAGTAACCTTAGGATCAGCAGCAGCAGCAGGAGCAGCAGTAGCAAGAGGGGCAGGCAGAACCACCAGTGCTGTTAGCAATATAAGGCTAGGTTGTCGTGGATAATGAACTTCGGAAGGCGCCCTAGAAGCTCCCTTCGCCACGGGAATCCGCAGGCTCAGCAGCAGCCGCAGCAAGAGGGGCAGACAGAGCAACCCGTGCGATTAGCAATGTAAGGCCAGGCTGTCGTAGATAATGAACTTCGGAAGGCGCCCCGGAAGCTCTCTTCGCCACGGGATTCCGCAGGCAGTACAGCACCGATGTTCGCGAAGCAAGCGCCCGTCCGAATCGAGAACTACAGACCGCGTGACGGTCCCCCCTCGCTCTCCCTGGTTCAATGTTGACAGAGGGATGACGGCTTTGCTGAAGCAGCGCGCTCACGTCGAAGAGCCTCGCAGCTCCGTCCGCCACGGCCTGCGGTCAGCATCGTGCGGGTGCGCCGGGGGCTCCGCCTTGACAGCTCCTCCTACTGGCGGGCGCTTGCTTTGCTGACAGCGGTGTGCGAAACCATCGGGCGCCGCGTGTAGGAGGGCCCCAAACATACACCAACACCGATCCTGGCCCAGGATCACCCTGGGCCCAGGATCGGTGTATACGCCCTCCTGCCTTGCGCAAGAAGGCATATACACCGATCCTGGGCCCAGGGTGATCCTGGGCCAGGATCGGTGTTGGTGTATAGTTGGTGCCTACCGAGCGTGTTCTGGGATGACGTGCCCCCCCCCGAACCTGCCGACCCCCGCCAAGAAGGCCCCGAGCCTCGACCCGGGGGCCGTTCTGCGACGGCCCCGCGGCCCGAAAAACGGACCTCCGGAGGCCCGACGGGAGAACTCTGGCACGGCTCCGTGCGATGCTGGAGGTCGAGCAGGGGTGGACCTCAACGGTGTTTTTGGGCGATTTCGTGGGCCGTGCTCGTTTCGATGTCGTCTTGCGTGGAAGGCGGACTGCAGACGAAACGAAGGAAAACGAAAACAACACGAAAACGATAAACACCGTTTAGGTTCAGCCCTGAGGTCGAACACTTGGCTGCAGGGCTCCTCCCCTCCTCCCCCTCCCCCCTCCTCTGCCGCGGGGCTCCCTGGGGAGACCAATAAAGTACCGATACCGCCACTCCCCGGACATCTCCCGGGATGCGTTCTGACCAGAACTCCGAGGCGAATCCGGCGGTGGCGACGAGGGCCTCCGAGGAGGACCAAAAACGGGAAAACGGGCGACGAGGTAGAGGTATGGGTACCTTTTCCTCCTACGACTCTCGACGCCACTGCAAAAAAAAATCGGATGCTGGAGGGGTCGCGTGGCCTCCGTCGGGGCACCTGCCGGCAGGCCGCTCTCTCCTTCGAGCGGTGGCACAAAGGCCTGTGGGCCACGCCATCGCCTCCCCCCTTGATGAGCCAGTGCGACAGGAACGTGCACCAGCAGGCCTGCGTCAGTGAAGCCGGGGGGGGTGGGAGAAAGGGGGAGAATGAGGAGGAGGAGGACGACGACGACGACAACGACGACGAGAAGCGAGGGGGAGGAGTAATTGGTCACTGCGTGGAGCTCCCCAGATGTGCATCTATTCGCATGGACCTGTCAGCCGTGAGTGTCTAGGCGCAAGAGTTTTTGAATATAAGCGGGCTTGAGTTGTGACGGTCTGGTCATGAATCTAACTGCGAATGAAGTGTGGCCTCCTGAGGCCTCCTGGAGCCTCGCGTGGCCTCCTGAGGCCTCCTGGAGCCTCCTAGGGAGGATTCGTACCCCAGGAGAGGCCCAATATATAGGAACAGACGTACATAAAACATTGCGCAGTGGAGCCACTTTTTTTTTAAACAAAAAAAAAAAAAAAAAAAAAAAAAAAAAATGACAAGGCAGCCCGTGCAGCACGAACCGATCCTGCCGCCTCGAAGGCGAGAGCCGCAAAATGCGGCCAGGAGGCTCCGCAAAACAGCGGCCTCCAAGGTGCAGCACGCCCGCCACGCCACGTGGGTGCGCAGTGCGGCGCCTCCCACAAAAGGTGAGAAGCAGATATGCGCCCAGAGGCTACCGCACCAGCTCGAGGAGTGTCGCCGCGGCAGCGGGCGCGCTGGGTCAGCGAGCGGCACGGCGGGCGCGGCGCGAGCCCTCGCCGTCGATGCGTCTGGCCGCCTCTTCGATGGACTCAGGCTCCCAGACCGCGCCTCCGTGCCAGGCCCCAGGATCAGCGAGAAGCCGTCTCACCCAGCGGAGCCCCTCGCGCTGCTGGGCAGGCGTCGGGGGCACCTCCACCCCAGCTGCGGCATCGGCGGCCTGCCAGCCAGGTCTGCGGAGGTCGCGGTCGTCGATGGGCACCGCGGCACCCTTGACGACCTGAAGTCGGAGTCGATCGAGGCGAAGGCGAGCACGAACCGCCGCACCAAGCTGGGGAGCGGGCGCGAGGGCCGCGGCGTCCCCCACCACCAGCTCCAGCACGTCACCGTGCACCTCCTCCACGACATCCTCCTCGGGCCCTTCCTCGAGCCCGTCGGCCGAGATGAACACCACGGAGGCGTCTCCCTGCCCGTCGTCGACGTCGTCAGCCGCAGCGCCGACGGCGAGAGCCTCGGGGCCCTCCGCCACCACGAAGTCCGCGTCGCAAGCCGAAGGGGGCGCGCTCGAGGCCGCACTCGCGCACGCCGCGGAGTGGTTGAAGCCGCCCAGCTCCTTCAGGTCGCCTCCGAACTCGTGGCAGGCAAGCTGCCTGGCCGAGCCCTGCTCCGCATGCTCGAGGTCCCCTTTCCACCAGCGGGGCCCCGAGGCGAGCGGGGCGGGCACAGGGGCAGCCGAAAGACGCGCACGATCAGCGAGAGCGAAGCGGGCGCCCGCTGGGAGGCTGCGCCCGCGGCGGCAGGCGACCTCCCAGGAAGCCGACACGCCCTCGGCGGCCGAGCGAGCCGCGGGCTGGCGCCGGTGGGGCAGGGCGCCGGAAGCCCCGCGAGGCGGCCGCAGCCGCACCGGAGGCCCAGCACCAGCAGGGCGAACAGGAGGAAGAGCTCCACGGCCGCGAACACCAGCGCTGCGACCGTGACGAGGCTGCCCTCCATGCCGACCCCGCCGTGCCCTCGGAGCATCCGAGCGTTGCAGGCGGTTGAGCGCCCGCTGAGATAGCCTGCGCACCTCCGCCGCCGAGATCGTCGGGTTGTGGCAGACCACGTTCCGACGCCCGACGTCCAGGGTGGCTGCAGGCTCGTTGAAGAGGTCCGCCGCCATGACGGGCGCGACCAGCGCCAGCCTTGCGACGACCTCGGGGACCGCGGCGCGGAGCAGCGGGTCCCTCTTGCCGTCCAGGCCCGCTGAGTCCTCGCACAAGCTCTCGACGTCGCCGCCAGAGCCAGCACCAGGAAGACCACCACCGTCATGGACAGCATCCGCCGCAGGGGCCGCGGACCCGCGGGCCTCCTGCGCGGCTGCGCGCGCCGCAGCCACAGCCACCGCCTGGCTAGCGTCCAGCGCGTGGCCCAGCTCCGCCTGAAGCCGCGCGCACTCCGCCTCGAGGTCGGTCACCCGCGCCAGGGCCGCCTGCAGCCGCCCAGCGCAGGCGGCGCGAGCCGCCGCCTGCCTGGAGCGCCTCGCGGGCCAGAGGGAGCCCCCAGCGCATGCCGGCTCAGCAGCCGCGCGGGCTGCTTGGCCGCCGCCCGCAGCCATCTCCCCAAGCGTCCGATCTCCGCGGCCTCCCGCGGGGCGAGAAGCAGATATGCGCCCAGAGGCTACCGCACCAGCTCGAGGAGTGTCGCCGCGGCAGCGGGCGCGCTGGGTCAGCGAGCGGCACGGCGGGCGCGGCACGAGCCCTCGCCGTCGATGCGTCTGGCCGCCTCTTCGATGGACTCAGGCTCCCAGACCGCGCCTCCGTGCCAGGCCCCAGGATCAGCGAGAAGCCGTCTCACCCAGCGGAGCCCCTCGCGCTGCTGGGCAGGCGTCGGGGGCACCTCCACCCCAGCTGCGGCGTCGGCGGCCTGCCAGCCAGGTCTGCGGAGGTCGCGGTCGTCGATGGGCACCGCGGCACCCTTGACGACCTGAAGTCGGAGTCGATCGAGGCGAAGGCGAGCACGAGCCGCCGCACCAAGCTGGGGAGCGGGCGCGAGGGCCGCGGCGTCCCCCACCACCCGCTCCAGCACGTCACCGTGCACCTCCTCCACGACATCCTCCTCGGGCCCTTCCTCGAGCCCGTCGGCCGAGATGAACACCGCGGAGGCATCTCCCTGTCCGTCGTCGACGTCGTCAGCCGCAGCGCCGACGGCGAGAGCCTCGGGGCCCTCCGCCACCACGAAGTCCGCGTCGCAAGCCGAAGGGGGCGCGCTCGAGGCCGCGCTCGCGCACGCCGCGGAGTGGTTGAAGCCGTCCAGCTCCTTCAGGTCGCCTCCGAACTCGTGGCAGGCAAGCTGCCTGGCCGAGCCCTGCTCCGCATGCTCGAGGTCCCCTTTCCACCAGCGGGGCCCCGAGGCGAGCGGGGCGGGCACAGGGGCAGCCGAAAGACGCGCACGATCAGCGAGAGCGAAGCGGGCGCCCGCTGGGAGGCTGCACCCGCGGCGGCAGGCGACCTCCCAGGAAGCCGACACGCCCTCGGCGGCCGAGCGAGCCGCGGGCTGGCGCCGGTGGGGCAGGGCGCCGGAAGCCCCGCGAGGCGGCCGCAGCCGCACCGGAGGCCCAGCACCAGCAGGGCGAACAGGAGGAAGAGCTCCACGGCCGCGAACACCAGCGCTGCGACCGTGACGAGGCTGCCCTCCATGCCGACCCCGCCGTGCCCTCGGAGCATCCGAGCGTTGCAGGCGGTTGAGCGCCCGCTGAGATAGCCTGCGCACCTCCGCCGCCGAGATCGTCGGGTTGTGGCAGACCACGTTCCGACGCCTGACGTCCAGGGTGGCTGCAGGCTCGTTGAAGAGGTCCGCCGCCATGACGGGCGCGACCAGCGCCAGCCTTGCGACGACCTCGGGGACCGCGGCGCGGAGCAGCGGGTCCCTCTTGCCGTCCAGGCCCGCTGAGTCCTCGCACAAGCTCTCGACGTCGCCGCCAGAGCCAGCACCAGGAAGACCACCACCGTCATGGACAGCATCCGCCGCAGGGGCCGCGGACCCGCGGGCCTCCTGCGCGGCTGCGCGCGCCGCAGCCACAGCCACCGCCTGGCTAGCGTCCAGCGCGTGGCCCAGCTCCGCCTGAAGCCGCGCGCACTCCGCCTCGAGGTCGGTCACCCGCGCCAGGGCCGCCTGCAGCCGCCCAGCGCAGGCAGCGCGAACCGCCGCCTGCCTGGGGCGCCTCGCGGGCCAGAGGGAGCCCCCAGCGCATGGCGGCTCAGCAGCCGCGCGGGCTGCTTGGCCGCCGCCCGCAGCCATCTCCCCAAGCGTCCGATCTCTGCGGCCTCCCGCGGGGCCCAAAACGAGAGCGAGCAGAAAGGGAATGGCTTGAGCCAAAATGGCTACGGAGGGAGTGGAGCCACAGGAGAAGGGCAATATACAGGAACACACGTAAAACACCTAGGACTCGTGCCCCAGGGGAGGCCCAACCTATAGGAACATACGTAAAACAGTTGGGATTGTATACGCAGGAGAAGGACAATCTGTATATACAGGATTGTATGCACAGGATTGTATACATGGGATTGGAGCCACTCCTGTTGCCTTCTGAGGCCTCCTGCTCCTGGGGCCTCTCGGGGCCTCCTGTTGCCTTCCGGGGCCTCCTGGCGCTTCCTGTGGCCTCCTGGGGCCTCCTGGGGCTTCCTGAGGCCTCCTGGAACTTCCTGGGGCCTCCTGCAGCCTTTTGGGACATCCTGTGGCCTCTTGGGTCTTCCTGTGGCCTCCTGATGTTTCTTGGGACCTCGTGTGGCCTCCTGGGGCCTCCTGGAGCCTGCTGGAACCTCCTGTGGCATCCTGGAGAGAATATGTGCCCACGAGCCTGGCCACCAAAACAAGTAAACTGATCGAGACATCCTCAAAATCTGGCCCCCTCTGGGGGGGCGAAAGCGAGCGCCTCGCTCGAGACATCCACCAAATCTGTTCCGACAGCGGAGGATGTTGGGCATGCAACAGGCACACTGCTCGAGACATCCCCGCCATTTTGGCGCGAACGGAGGCCGTGCAATGCCCCTGGCGGCCCCCCCCTTAGGAGGTGCCTCGCACGAGGCATCCTCAAAATCTGCTCCGACAGCGGATGATGTGGGGCATTCAAACACGCAAACCGCTCGAGACACCCCCGCCACTTTGGCGCGAATGGAGGCCGTGCAATGCCCCTGGCGGCCCACACTTAAAAGTGCTGAAACCAGCAAGCCGCTCGAGACATCCTCAGAATTTGCTCCGCCATCATCATCATGTGTCATCCAGTCATGCATCATCATCATCATCATCATCATCATCATCATCATCATCATCATCAGCATCAGCATCAGCATCATCATAATCACCACCATCAGCATCAGCATCATCATCAGCAGCATCAGCATCAGCAGCAGCATCATCAGCACAATCAGCATCAGCATCATCATCACCATACTCATCCATCATTCACCATCACCATCAGATTCACATCATACTCTCACCATACCATGGTCATAATCATGACAGCCCTCATCATTGTTTAGTGCAAAGAGAGAGGAGGAGAAGGAAGAGGTCCGGTGCGGTCAGAGAATTTCTCACTGCGTGGAGCTCCTCATGTGTGCATACATTCGCGTGAACCTGCCCGCCGTGAGTCTAGGCGCAAGAGCTTTCGAATATAAGCGGGCTTGCGTTGCGACGGTCTGGTCATGAATCGAACTTCGAAAAGATTGGAGCGTGAATGAGTCTCGGTAGTACGACCGCGTCTCTGCACATGAGCCTGGGGCCTCCTGGGACCTCCCGGGCCTTCCTGGGGCCTCCAGGAGCTTCTCAGGGCCTCCTGGGGACTCTTGGGGCTTCGAGTGGCCTCATGAAGCCTCCTGGGGCTGTGCGTGGCCTCCTGGCGCCTCCTGGAGCCTCCTGGGACCTCCCAAGGAGGATTCGTGCCCCATTCTTTTTTTGCATCGCCAGCGCGGCGTTCGCTGCGAGCACCGTCCGCATTGGAGGCAAGGGCTGACGGCGGCCGTTCAAATTGAACGGCCCGCGAGAAAAAAAACAAAGGCAAAATCCTCGAGCGTTGCCGCAAGCCGAGCCTCACGCCCCGCTAGGCTTCCTGCCCGTCTTGGGGTCTGAGTCCTGGCGGGTGTTCTCAATCTTGAGGTTCCTCAACCTCAAGGCATTGCCCGACATTGCCTCGCAGGTCTTGCCCAGCGAGAGGTGCTTGCCCTTCACCTCCATGGCGTGGCCTCTGCATCCGGTGCAAACACTGAAGCCGCCCATGCGAATCAGCTGGTGGCCACTGTCGCTGGCCGCCACGGTGCTGCCGGAGCCCGCGGGCGCAGGGAGGTCTACCTGCGCCCCGCCGCCGTAGCCCCTGGCGCTGCCGTCAGACGTGGCAGGCACTAGGTGGTGAGCAGCCCCAGGAAGGTCGACCCGCGCGCTGCTCCTCCTTACGCCGCCGTCGGAAGTAGCGGGCGCAGGTCCGCGGGCGCCCTGCGCGCCGCCCGCCCGCTCGCCGCCGCCGGGCGCGGCGGCAGCTGGGCCCTGCGCGGCGGCAGAGGGGGCGGTCTGCCTCCCGCGCACGGCTGCAGGGGCGCAGTCCTGCGCGCCGCTGTCCTCAGCCTCGAGGCGCCTGGCTGCCGCCAGCGCCACCGCCACCGCGCCCGCCGCAGGGGGGCGCCGACGTCGCCGGCCTGCGGCGCGCTCCGCTGGCGTCGGCAGCAAAGGGCTTCGGGAAGCAAGGGTCGCCTAGCAGGCGCTTGACCCCCTGGGCCGCGAACGCCGACCTGAGGCAGACCCTACAGCGATCGCCACCGCCCGTCAGCACGATGGGATCGCGCCTGGTGATGGGCGGCTGAGGCCCCTTGCGCTGCTCGTGGAAGTCGAGAACCGCGTCGAGCTTCGCGCCGTCGGCCTCGCTGCCAGCCCTGGCCACGCAGAAGAACGCCACATCCAGCGCGAGCGCGCGCCGCTGCCACGCCGGACTGAGGTCGCTTGGGGCCCGCACTGCATCAGCCACAAGCACAGCGCACCTGTCGGTCTCCACGTTGCCGCGGCGGCCCCTGGCAGAGATGGCCCCCTCGCCGTGCATCCATGACCGTCGCGTGCGCCTTGACCTTCAATGGCAAGGCCGCCGTCGCCAACGCCGCCGACGTCGCCTGGGGCCTGCCGCGCCCTCCCCCAGACACAACCCCATGCGGCAGCGGCCTTCGCAGCGCCAGCAGGATCTTTTTCCAGGAGCCCCTTTGCGACGCACGGGGCGCCAAAGGCAGCCGCGTGATCGGCGGGGGGTCGTGCCTGAGGGTCACCAGCAGGCCGAGGAGCTCGGCGCCGTCGATCGACTGCAAAAGCCCTGACAGCGGCGCCCCCATAGCCCTGATCGCCGACCCAGGGCCAGGATCCCGATCGGCGCCTCCGCACGGCGGCTCGGCGAAACCGCGGGCCGACGCAGCCGACGAAAGCCCGGCCCCATGAATCGCGCCGTTAGAGTAGAGCGCGGCGATCGCGAACGGGAAGCCGTCGCCGCCCTTGTTCCACTGCGCGCGCGCCAGCAGGTCGTCGCCAGGCGGTCGCCAGGCGGTCGCCACTGGCGCAGGGGCTCTGGCAGCAAAAGCCGCCCAACGAGCGCGCGAATCGCCGCGCCGCTGCCGAAGGGGACGAGCTTCGCAAACTCCGCGGGCAGCGCGAAGGAACGCCAACTGTCCACGCAGCCGGCGCGCCGATGCCAGAGAGCACCGAGCTCGCCAGGGCGATGCTGGCAGCACGGCGAGCGCGCCAGCCTGGGCGCATCCAGGTAGCGCCTGCCTTTCGGCGACTGGCCGTTCACCACCATTGAGCGCATGTAGCCACGCTGGCCGTCGATGAGCGGCCCCCACTTCCTCGCCTGGTGAGCGCTGCCCTTCCCATTGCAAACCCAACGCCTGGTGTGGGGCATGAACGCACCGTGAGCTGTGCCCGCGTGAGTGGTCTGGGCCACTTGCTGAAGCTGCCACGTCTTCACGTCTGCCGTGAGCACCTGTTTGAAGTGCCAAGGCGAGGTCTCCTGCATGTCGATGTCGTCGCCGTTCGGCCTGATGATCTGGTCGAGGGCCCTGGGGCTGTAGCCAAACCTGCGGAGCGTCGTCGCCCCTGCCCCCATCGGCCAGCGAATCTGCGGCCAGGAGCTGACGGCGCCCGCTGCCCAGGCGAACGCGGGCCGCAGTTGGCTCAGAGGCACACTGCCCCCCCAGGTCGCCCTGGCTAAGGAGAAGCAGGGGGCCAAGGTAGCCGCGAAGATAGGATCTATATTTTCGGAGCCGCCGATCAGCAGGCACGCCGCGAGCGTCTTGCCCTGAGGCCGGGGCCCGATCGCGCGCCGCATGATCGCGCGCGCCTGCCGAAGCTCGGAGAGGTTCAGCCCCGCGCAGTTCGCGCCGTAGAAGAGGCGGCGC